ATATGGAAGTCACTTCGTTGGGGGCTTTTGATCTGTTGTTAAGCGGACGCAAATTAAACGCTGTGCTAGGGAGCGTGGCTGCTATTAAGCTTTAGCTTCGTATGTCGGCCGCGTGCATGTTAAATTTTTATAAACATATTGCCATAATGGCTTCAAAGCTTTTTGGGTTAACTGAAAACAGTGGATTTAAAAATATATATAGCAAATCAATATGTTTTTGGACAGCTTCAATAGTCAATAATATTTGTTAAAATAGTTCTTATGAAGCTCCTAATTAAAATACTTTTTTCCTAAATTCATTCTCGTTAGAAGTATGGAATTTTCAAAATACGCGTGATACAATACCGTACCATGTCAGGTGTGGGGTTCGAACCCCACGCTCCCTCTCGGGAACCAGAGCTTAAATCTGGCGCCTTAGACCGCTCGGCCAACCTGACCTGTGCAATTTATCGCACATCACTTTCATTATCAGGACAGCCAATGTAATTTGTCATCGCATACAAAAATATGTCAACATATAAAAATTAGTAACTTACAGTTTGTGCCATAAATGTACATACCTCAGTGCATGTATGTATATGTTTGTAAATAAGTTAGTTTTCGTATTCTTCCACGAAAATTTTACATCAAGTCAAAAGTGCCCTACCTTCTAATCTATATCACTCTTCGGCGAGTTTATTATTACATACTGAGTTATAGCATTAAGCTGTTTGCACTAGGCAAACTACAATATCAAGTAGTGAGATATCACATAATTTCTCCTCCATCGCTATTTCCAGTAGGCTTCGATTAACTATTATCACATTACCACAACTGGGGTTTGTATATCTATCTGAAAGATCGACCCAATCAGCAAAGGCTCTGTCAAATATATGTAATTATAAATAATTTCACAATGCAAACCATGAATAAGCCTTATACTCTATAATCTAGAGTGGAATTGGAGAAAATATCTCAAACTATGACATAGTGCACTTAGACATATTCTATTGTTAACCCAACCATATACACCACAAAATAATAATAATTTTATATTTAACTAAACGATCTCATTTCTCTCACTATAATCCACTCGACTTTGGTTTTCAAAGCAAACCACGTAGTTTCCAGCGCAGTTATAATACATACATATATAGTATACATATTTGCCCGTAATAAGCATTCACAACCTCGCCACTGGCCACTGTACAATAGGCATTAATTTGAATTTATCTAGAGAATCTCTGAAGCGTCATCATGACCGCCATCCACTGATTCTGCGCACTAGAAAGCGCAAGTAAAAGCTCCTCCAGTAACGGCAGCAGCGAGATGACAACGACACGAGTACGAGGTCATTATATCGTAAACGATATGGGCTCACGCCTATGGAGTCCGTATGTGCCCACAGTCCGTTTTCAGTAGTCTCTAAGGGCGGACGCAACACACCCTGAATTGAATAAAATCCTAGCTAAACATTTAACGTCAATGTGAATCGGTGTCAGTGCAATTCGTGACGTCGACAAGCTCGGAGCCCATAATACATACAGCAACAACGCGAACGCCGAAGCCGAACTCGGAACTCGAACAAACAAACAGTGAACAATGCACTGAGCAAAGTATTTAACTCGGTTACTGGGTAAAATAGTTGCATACATTCACACACATTTGTTGGTGGCGGCGTAGGGAGTGCTGGGACTGCACCCAGTGAGCAAGCGTGGTGTGGTTGGATTCCTTGTGCCACACGAGAGTTTCCAACGCAAACAAAAAGGAATTCGGGCACTGCGGCATTAAAACGCTTTGTTCACTTTCGCGACTTGCATTTAAAATAATGCATTTTTTTGTGGTTGCAAGTTGTGTGTTGCAAGCAAATAAATGTGTACATGCTTCTGGAATATTAACGCTCCAGCGGTGTAACTCCGGGGTAGTATGTGCCTGTGTGCGTAAGCGTACGAATAGCGTGCCATATGGCAATTTTTCGGGTTGCGTTCCAATTTATCCCAACTCTTTTGTTATTATTATAGTTTCAGTGGTTTTGTTTTGGTGCAGTGAAAATGAAATGAAATGTGAAATAAAAATCGATCAAGCAAATTCGCATTCGCATTTTCCATACTGCATAACATTTTGCACGCTCGTGTTTTCGTCTTTATTATTGTTGTAGCCAAAGTAGCTGGCGAGTGATAATGATGCCCCATGGAGGAAAGCATTGTGATTTGACTGCAATCTTTATTGTTATATGTTGCAGTTGCTTCACGTTATGTTTACGTTCGGAATGACGTACGGTTCGGTGTGGTAATGTAGGTCAGAATTGCCTAATACAAACAACAACAACAATGCTGAAAACATGGCTTTAATGGCAGCGGCACTAACTAACCTAGCTGTTACAATGACAACAGTGGCGCATCGTACATGTCAGGGCTTATAAAAAGATTGAGATGCGAGAGATTCGTTTGTTTTAATAATTATGAAAAGATTAGCTCCAGAAGTATAGAAAAAAAATATATATTTGTTAGTTTTCGCTAATTTCAGAATCACTAAAGGAATTAGGTTAGTTTTGCATATAATATATATTAGAAGAAAGCTTTGAAATTAACATAAACTGGAAAATTCTACATAATTTTTTCATTATTTGTTAAAGCCGTACTAAATTTCTATACACATATCACATTTTTTTGTTGTACTTGTCATAAATAAGACTAATCACGCTTAGCCGTATATCCTTATCTTCGAGGGATCAGAGCGCATGCTTTGAACAAGATTTATTGAAACGTTTTTTAAATAAATTGGAAAATTGTGTTTCTTAAACTTAATCGCAAGGAATTTTTGAAGAATGCCACTAAAATTTTGTTTTATTAACTCCAAATTGAATAATGATCGGCATTGGGACCACTGTGCAACGAGGCCCCAACAATGATTTCGTAAAAATTCACGCAAAGTATGGCGAATAGGCGAGTGATTTGCAAAATTGTGCAATAACAACGCACACGTCTGATTGTTACTTCTCCGCGATTGTTGTTCAAGCGCTTCTTTATATGAGAAAATGTGAATAATTTGTATGTGCCTGCGTGCTTCTCATATGTGGCAGCAAAATCAACCGTTTAAGTGAAGGAAATGAGGAAATTGAAATTACAGAAAAATTAATAAATTGCGAAATATTTACAACAATGCGGTACCGTTTAAGTAAAAGTGAAAATAGTTATAAAAAAAAAGTTAAGTGGCAAGCAAAAAAACTACTTGCAACATTAATGCGAAAACAAGCCATACATATGGCAACTGACATTACACGCCCCTATATGTGCATATACACATACATATATAGATAGGCATGTGACGAAACTATTATTCACTTACAGCTAAATGCAGCAGGAAGCCAAGCAAATTAAACTAATATTAACGACTTTTAACAATTCATATGTGAACTTGCAACGCCGCAATTGGCTACTGGAAAAGCATACAAAATGTTTACACGAGCAGAATTTTCGTATATATTCACAATCGTGTAATTGTACATACACACACACACACACACACACTGCTGTGTAGTGAACTTTAACGTTTCAAACTGTACTTTGCGCAAAGTGCACGAGCGCGCAGTGATGCACAGCACGAAAATATAAGCCATATGCAAATTTGTTAGATACAAATAAATAATTGGTGTCGATTTCGCCCCACACGCTTGCCGCCCACAAGCCAATTAGAAAGTAAAACATCCATAGTTTTAATAGAGTGAGTTTTTTGCGATCTCTAGCGGGCTCTCCGTATGCGCTTTTGTGTATATGTGTTGTAGCGCAACTTGAACCCGATACACCTCATTCATTGCGACGATTAATTTGTAACTTATTTGCGCTATAATGGATTTTTATACGAAGACAGATCGTCACAACGACAAAGATTGTGGTAAGTGTGTTAACCGTTTGTGCGAATGTTAACCTCTCTCTCTAATTGAGAGTTTAATACCCCTCGGCTGCTTTGTGATCGTTGAATTATTTTGTATACAACAGCGCAATTAATTTATTGGGGTACTTAGACGGTAATAATTTTGCCTTTTAAAATAGCAATTAAGTGATATTTTTTTTTAACATTTGCTCTCTCCAATAGAAAGGTGAAAATCTCACCTCTTTGCGCTTTCATTGCAATGACTGATTAGTTATCGGTCGCAATGTTCATGAACCTATCAACTCGTAGATAACATCGACAAATGCCATTTGAGTGTCTGACAAAGATATTCGACAAGCAAAGGTGCAAACAAGAGGTTAGAGGTTTTACAAATACTAGGCGGACTATTCACCTACATCACGAGCGATCATATACAATTTAATTAGGCTTTGTTAAAACTGCTTGAATTTATTTATGATAGCAAATAATAACAAAAAAACACGTTAACTTCGACTGCATCGAAGCTATAATAACCTTTGCAAGTACTTTTCTTATAGCACAAAAAGGCATCGGTAAGTTTGTATGGCAGCTATATTCTACACTGGACCGATATCAGCGGTTGCGGCAAATGATGCTACTTGAGGAGAAAATAACGTGTGCAAAATTTCATATCGATATCTTAAAAACTGAGAGACTAGTTCGCATATATACGGACACACAGACAGCTAAATCTACACAGTTCGACACGCTGATTATTTATATACTTGTATGTATATAGTTTATAGGGTTCGCCGCCGTCTTCTTGATATTATAAACTTCGTCGCAAACTTAATATACCCTGTTCAGAGTATAAAAACAATAATTGCGCTCTGACAGAGATGTTTAATCCCCAAATCTTAATAGAGGGTATAAATTTTCAAGATCGACATATAATACTTTTCAACTGTAATATTGCAATATGGAATTTTCGTTATCAAAGTGTTTGAATTGGAACTCTAAAAAAATTATTTTCAACTTTAAGCATTCTTTATGATTTTAAACCTTTTTGATTTTAATGCTTAAAACGGTTGGCAACCTTCTTTTGGTTTACGTATTTAAAAAAAAAATATTTACTTTACATCCAACAATAAAAAAGAGAGGGAATGTGGTTGCACTACATAATTTCGGTGATTTTAAACTTATGTCTAAATATATACTACATGAGAAGCACTAAAAGGTATGAACCCACATACTTCGAAAAAATGTATTCAGATTGATATTGAAATAAATGGCAACTCTCATTGTGATATAATTGTCCTAATTAATTCCTACTGTGATGACTGTAATGGAAAGTGTAATTCCGAATGCCTTCATTCAGTATTTTTAGCTGAGGCGCCTGCAACAATTGAAACTGTTAGTGCTTTCATTAATCCGCTTCGTTTTGTTTACCTCACACATCTCAACACTCACTACATCGCCTATAAGTACAAGGGTATTTCAGAACTTTTAGCACCAATTTACAGCATTCCACCGGCGGTAATGTTGCAAACCTTTCGGTTTAATGCTAGTAAGTCTCGAAACACTTATACCCCACCTCCGCAAAAAGCCGTTTTAGAAAACGATGTTAAGGCTATTAATTACCTCGACGTGGATATCTGCGGCAGAAAGTGTCACTATGGCTAACTTATCGAAAAAAAGCTCACACTCACAAAGTAACTGTGCACATGTGTATGTTTGCTGGATAGGTGTAACTGCAGCGTGTGCGCCCGGCTTTTCAGTGCAACCTGTATGGCTAAACCATTTACCACTTTTAGACCTCTGCCCAGAAATTTTCTCAACCGTGCATGAGCCTCTTCTGTGTGCCTTGTTTAGCGCAGCACTTTTGCATTGTTGTTGCTGTCGGCTTTAAGAGCGCCAAGGTTGTGTAGGCGATCACAGCAAATGTGCAGTGGCAATACATAAAATGCTTGCTTTTTGTTTGAAGGCTTTTTGTTTTGATGCAAGTGGAGTGCTTATAGTGAAATAAAAAGAACAGAACCTTCTTTTACATAGTCTTCTTTAATGTTACTAAGTTATAGTCGTACACTAGTGTATTTTTTCAACTAAAGTCTGCATATCTGTAGTTGCAAATATTTCACGGTTTAGTAATTATGTCACACAAGCATCGAATATCAAAGCTTAACCTTAAGCGCGGTGTCATGCCTCGGCAACGGGGTTTTCCCCTAGTCTCTTTTTCTGTGAATCGAAAAGCAGCCATTCTGTACAGCGACGTATTTCTCCTAATATATTTGTTTAAGGCCATAATTCAAAGTGATTCAACATACGATGCTAACTTATTAGAAAATATATAAGTTGTATTATTAGCTACAACGTTAAAATTTAAAATTCTTCGAATTGTAAGTAGTAATAATAATCCATTGAGGTAGGTACAACGTAATCTCTTGTTTTGATTGTGCGTCTTGACATTATCGTATCTTCAATAAGTGTACTCTTTAAACTTTTTTCGCACTCCAAGCTCTGATTCTTAAGGTTTCGAGATGCAACTAATACAATCCGCATTCTGAACCTGTAATAATTGATTTTACATAAATTCACGCTTAAAAAATTTTAAAATTTTGCTGTATCTATATTAATAAAATTGTATAGCTTATATTTTTACCCTAAAAAAAATTAAACTTTCCGATAAGGGTACAAAAAAAAAATATATAAAAAAATATCGGATTTTTTTTCGACATTTTGTCCAAAGATTTATACGTATTTAATCTGAGAAAATTAAAAAAAAATAAATCCGTATTTAAAACCAACATTAAATAGCATACAGTTAGGAAGCGACTTCGTCTTATAATTCGGACGAATAAGTGATAAATAATAGGTGCATCGTAGCAGTGCTCTTTGAACAAAATCTCAACTGTATTTGCTACTTCTTGCACGCATTTCTAGACCCCTTACTAAACTGATATTGCCACTTGTACATATTTGACCTTAGAATTATATCGAGATTATTTGTTACGTAGCAGATTTCTTCATTTAATCAGTGCAGGTCTCAGTTATGGCACTACTGGTATATAGTATGTATTAGTGCTCTTAAAATTATTCGAATATCCGGTTTATAACCATTCGTGCGAATATTAACCGTCGTCCTTGGGCGTCGTTCCACTGCGACTATTCGAATAGCTGCTGCGAGTATTTAAATAAATTAAAATTGTTTGAAATCCAATTTTTACCTTTTTTTTTTGAATAACGTTTACGATTCGAATAGTTGACAACGAACGATTAAAAAAAAATAGTCGAAAATGAGCGCTTAATAAAATAGTCGACAACTTACGACTATCCGGATAGTGCAAACCGAATATTATTATTCGAATAATGCCCTATGCGGTTAATCCGGTTAGTCGATTAGTCAAATACCAAGAGCCCTAGTATGTATGTGGAGTCAAGAAATTTATTTCCTATTCCTAAACAAATAATAAGCATTCCATCAGAATACATAGAAATGTATATTTTCAATATAAATTCATTACTTACACCAAACATAACAAAAGTTCAACATTTCAAAATGTTACAACGTTCGCGAGATCGAAATTGTTTGACTTAAAAAATCGGGTAAATTATTTTGTCACACACAAGTCACGTAAGAGTTCTCTTCTAGTTGTTGAAGTTTTGGCTGTTGACCAAGGCCACAGAAACTAATTAAAGGAAGTGGAATCAGACAGTTAACTATAATTTTGAATATATGACACTTAATATTTTAAACTAAATAAGCATTTCTCACAAAGTAGAAAATCCGGGCCCAAATTTCTTAACGCCCACAGACACCACTGCATTTTCATTGTGCTTAAATCAAATTCGTACACATACATACAAACCTATTACTTATGTACGTAATTATGGATGTTCAGAAATCGTTGACATCCGACTAAGTACTTCACAGTCCAGTCAATGTCAACGCGCTTGTGACAAACTCAAGCATGAATAACGGAAGATGAGACGGACATTGCATTTGGCGATCCAAACAACCTTACTAACCATGGCGACAATCTAGGCATCTGCATGTGTTTATGTACATATGTATGTAAGAGCTTAGTGCATATATTAAGAATTATTTCTGCTTTCAACACTACGCCATTGTCTAAATGCTACATAAATTTAGGTATTATTTTTTTGCTTCTGTGGCAGAAATCAGTATATCTGGCGTTCTGTTCATATGCCATATATGCAAGCACTTGGGCCTGTCACTTTTGACTTTGTGCTTTTCCACCATTCGCATTTTCAATTCGTAATTCTTGGGGTTTCCTTGGCTGCTGCTCCGCATATCAAACGAACGAAGAGTCGGCCAACCACTGTCAATGTCGACTGGTTTGTTACACTGCACTTCCATTAGTCAGGCTCTCCATTCTGCGACGGAGACTGCCCTTACATTACATATCTGCATATGTAAAAGTAGAAGAAGATTCAACAGCGGAGCTCGCGGAGCGGTATTGAAAGAAGTATGTTGCACTTGAGCGCACTTGATGCAAACGAGTACTAGTCAAATGAGTTGCAACTGGAATTTATGTGAAATATCTACATAGATACTCCATCGACCGACTGCACTATATATACTTATATATGTATGTACATAAATACCATAGGACATATTATATGTTTGTAAGTGCGAAAATTAGTGATGGTGTGAATGTGCAGCGGAGACAACGTGTTGGCTTTTTTAAATTTATTTGTAGATTTGTCGTAATCTTCAAAAGCTTCATGTGTGATCTAACAACCACATGTTTGTATAACACTTCCTCCACATCAACTCAACGCGCTGAGGGTGTAGACTGTGACTTAATAAGTGTTTGCTGTCCCATATGAGTTGCTAGCTGAAAATATGCTTTGTACACTAGATCTTAAAAAGGAGTGTTTGCGAGCATTATTCATGCACTAGGGGTGTGCGAATGCGTGATATCAGATTTAAGTACACTGATTTCCATAAATTACCACAGTTGGCGTCATGTATGTATATATTATATATTGAGTTATGGAAAATCCTGATATCGATGATAATCGCCCTTTTGTGCCCAAATTCGTATATTGAGTAATTTGAGAATTTTCCATGCAATTAAACAATTAACTAATTGTACAATTAGTATTTAATTAACAGTAAATAGATGACGAAGTGTGTAAGCAATCCTGTGAAGTATGTGCTATGAAAGTGACAAGCGCCTATTTATCGAAATGTAGTCAAAAGCAGTTTTAGAAAGCAAACAGGTCTTTCCTCTTAAGTTTGAACACATGACTAGGTTATCATTATTTTTTCTTGTAAAAACTGCAATCAAAAACCGATTGTGTTGGTTAGGAAAGTTCTATACTTCTGATTCTGATTTAATTAAATTCGTTAACTTGAGTTATTATTTATTATATTCACATTAGCCTTTAATAATTGTTTGAGCTAAACTGCACACCAAACACATTGAGTTGATTTTCAACTTAAGTGCCTCAACTAGTTTCTAACCGAAAGTCAATTAAAAGCCATGGATTATTTTAAACCAAAAAACAAAAAACAATTATTTAATAAATGACAATCCTAATGCCTATGGCTTAATGAATATATATGGTACATCCAAGACTCTCTTAGGTTATGTACAAGATGATAGCTGCTGCTCTTCACTCTTAGCTGCAACTCCACTTATTACTAATCAACTCCGCAACATAAAACCACTATTCGTTAGGAGCTTAAAGAGAATATGAAAGTGCATAATCAAGATAGTGTTAAATTGTCTGAAAAATTGTTGCTAATTTGTTGCGCTTCTTTGAGTGCAAATTTAAAAAATTCGAGCTACTTAGACAAGATTATGGCAACTGCATGTGGCATTATACTGTACAGAGCAACTATATTGCATAATTTATTGTGCACTTAAGTGTACGTAATTAAAGTTGCTGAATTTTAAAGTTAACCCGAAGAGGGTAAGAATTAAAAAAAAATATTATATAAAAATACCAGCTGGTTGATGTTGTCTAGTCTGAAATTAATTACAAAATGAGTTCAAAATTCACATATTTGCAAATAAGATACGAGTATATATACACAACTTTCATAATCTGATCGAAATTTTCATTAGTCGCTGTCAGGTCTGTAATACTTCTAATTAAATAACTCTCAGCAACCAAATGGGTAAGATATAGCTTTGAGAATTACTTCATATATTTAAGCTTTCTTTTTAGAAACATAGAAAGCATCACTTTATAATTGTCTCGATTAATTTTGAAAAATTACCTTTTACATTTTATCTTGAAAATCGGTTAGCACTCAAGTTTTAAACTTAGTTATGCAGCATTTTTAGTGAGGACTCTCATCCGATCAACATTAAAAATTGTCGGAGACCGTATAAAGTATATACAGGGCCGTAGAGAGAAAACCCAGGACCGAGGGGAATATAGGATGCGATATTTTGTTTATTTTGAGATGAAAATCGCCTCGCTGAGAACTCATTGCCTGGTAGGAATCGCCTCAATCTCTCGTTCACTGAGTATATTTATAAATAACCAACGTGACGTGCTGAGTCAATCTAGCCATGCCCGCCTTTCTGTCCGTCTGTATATACGCGAACTAGTCACTCAGTTGTTGAGATATATTTCTGATATACAAACTAAAGTGGCTGTATGGAAAACTTTCGTATTTGACAAGGTACCCCCACGAAATTTGGCACAGATTATTGTCCAATGCAACGCTATGATCGCGAAACATATTGCTCAGAAAAGGCCACTATAACATAAAGTTGCCATACAAACCAACGTCTCAAAGTCAAGAAAAACATCTTTTCATGCTAAAAAAATGCACCTGTGTAGGGTATTATAGCTTTTGTGCCCTCGGAGCTAACGGTTTTTCTGTTTTTTTTTTGTTTAATACCATTTTTAAAAAATATTTTCGATAATTGACCTAAACTGCTCTTATGCACATTCACATTTTCATTGCAAATTGTAACGAAGTAAAAATCACGCAGTCAATTTTATTCAATTAAAGGTTTGTAGTATATATGCATGTACATACATATATCTCTACATATGTTAATAATTTGTGCACACCCTCGTTTGTTGTTGCAACCGGTAAACGCTGACAGCAATTTGGGATTGCTAACTGACAGTTTTAATAAATTTCACCTTGCCAATTGGTTAAACAAAAAACTGTTAGCGTCATCACGAGAGAACAAATGAGCTCCGGCGTTGCCCAGCAACTACTACATCATCATTTGCACCAGCCAGGCACCTATCGTAGTCACCATTGAAAGTCATTATCAATATTTTAACGAGTCGCTTAAACGCTTTTAGATTGTTTTGCTTTCCATTCCACCTTTCGTCATATATATTTATATGTAAATATGAACGTTTACAAATTAGTGTACACGCACGGGCGTATATACATATGTACAAGTATATATACATATATACATTGATTTTATTCTCATTTGTTTGCGTATGTTTCGCCTTTATTTCTCCAATTTATTTATTTTCAACACAAGGCGAATGTGAGGCGCGCGGTCAAGGGTGGCAGATAATGGCAAATGTGGGTGACGTACAAACTTAATGCGCCTACACCGCAAACTAACTACTCATTATCCAATTTTCTTTGTTGTCATCCTCAACAAAATAATTTAATAGTCTGGTGATTGTTCTTAAATTCGCCCTGAACGCTTTTGAACGCTCACTCACGGCTCATCACTAATGCTCTTTTATCCTACTTTCGCTGTTTTTGATGCGGGGTGAGGGAAAATACACCAAACTATTATCCGTTATTTACCTCGTTATAAAGATATATAGAATTGCAATATTCCCACAGTCTCATTTCGTATCGAATGACAAGTATTTCATACCTTCGCACCTTGTTGAATGAAACAACTTCAGCAACAACAAAAGCAAAAAGCCGAAAGTGTGGTATGTACTTGAGCCCAGTAAGGAAACTTAATCTTATCATGTAGCGAAAAATGAGTCAGACCAGCACTTTTGTATAGAAATGTAGAAATTAACGCCATAAATAAAAAAAAATAGCTTGCGAAATCGCTAAAATAGTACAATTAAACACAACAACAACAAAGTTAAAAGTATATACTCGTATCTAAAAAGCCTGAAATGGCCTAAAGAGAGCGCATAGCAGTAGCGCGAGCGAGTGGCGAGAGAATGGCAATAAGCGGTTGTGCAAAAAGTGCACAGAACACGCTTAGATTGCCACACCGACGACCTACCGACCGGCCCAAGTACCAACCAGTCGATCAGCTACTAGACAGCCAATGAACCAACCAGCACAGTTACTAAACGAGTCAACGAAACTGAGCGCGGAGCGTTTGATTTGTACCGCAGCGTATTGAAGTGGAGCAGCGTATTCGCTGAACCCATCGTCGATGCTGGTTTTGGGTTGACGGTGCTCCGCAGTCGGAGCGCATAGTTAGTTGACTTTTGCTAGCGTTGCGGAACACTTTTAACCAGAAAAGAATCGTGTTAGTGTCGGTGTCGGTGCTTTGTGTTTTGTTACTTTATTTTATTTATTTTTTTTTTTTTTTTGTATAGAAAGCATAAGCACACGATAAGCTTGTGGGTATTTTTTTGTGATAAAAAATATCGTCAGCATTATTGAAGTAACATTTTTGCTTTTTATGAGTGAATTCTATTTTTGATGCTAACGGTAATATTTTATAACGAATTTCGTTTTTTTTTTTTCAGTGCGCAAAATGGACACACAATTGGTGTGGGCACGCGATCCAGTCGAGGGCTATATACAGTGTCGCATCTCGGAGATCGGTGCTAAAGAATTCGAAGTGGAACCAGTCGATCGGAAATATGCAAAGCGCTCCTGTCACGTTGACGATATATTTTCATCGTGCGATGGACCTCAAGATCATGATGACAATTGTGAGTGTTGTTTAGATAATTATCTTTTTAGTGTTATATCATTTTGTTTTAGTAAACATACATATACGTATGTATTATCATACGAAAACAAGTATAGATATGAACATAGCTCAACTGGCTTTGAAACAAAGACACACCGTGCCTTATCAGCCCGTAGAGTATCACGTGCTTACTCCGCGTCTACGGCGATTAACTATTCAACGATTTTATTATCATTAGGTATTCCAAAACAGTTTGTGTCCATTCTTTAAAGCCTAAAAAGCCACTGTAATGCCTATTTATTTAAATATTCCGCGCAGAATTCGATCGTTTGTAGCAATGCAACTCTTTGTCGCGTTATGCGCTGTCTGCATGAGGCCACAACTATGCTCCAGCCACCAATTTCAGCCGTGGCAAAACTGGTCTTCTTGCTCTTGCCAAAGCTATTTCCATTCCAGTCAGCGTAATGCCGATTTGAATTTTTCTCATTTTTATTTCATTTGATTTTTTGTTTTTAAATTTAACCATCTTCTGTCTTTTTTAACTGACCAGTCCATATGTGTAACGTCTGCTTGGTCAGGCTACATTCATCATGAGCATCGTAAGATGTTGAAGCCAGATATATCAGGTCGACCGCAACCAATTGTAAGAACACTTAAGACCGCAAGCGCTTAAAAACGCTTCAATTTATGACCACGGCCGCTTACATGACAAAAATCATAAAAAGAAAGAAAAGCTATGTTTCATATTTACATCAAGTTGCGCACAATAATGTCATAAGTTTAAATTGCACATTATGTCTTGTGCTTTCTTTCTGATATGCAACATGTAAAATGTCTACTCCAACGCATAGCACTCAGTTCTGCTTTACAACATCGCACACCAAAAGCATTCAAAACGGCGCTGCTTCCAACATCACTATTAGTTTTCATTCAAGTCATGTATCTGGAAACGAACTTCTTCAGGTATTGCAGAGTTGTGGTTTTTTCGTTCCAAAGCTAATCACTGCAGCAAAAGCTGTTGTACCTACATATGTCATTAATTATATAATTTCTCGTCGAAATCGTTTTAAGTGATAAGGCTAATTTTTGAAATGACTTTGCTCACTAATTACCCAAAAAAACATAAAACCGGACATGGTATTGTACATATAAACGCATATGGTTTATAAAAACAATTAGTGACTACATTGAGACTGATTTTGCTATTTTTCAATATTAATTTTCTCTTCCAGGTGAACTTATGCTGCTGAATGAAGCAACCTTTTTGGATAACTTAAAAACACGTTACTATAAAGACAAAATCTATGTAAGTACTAAGAAGTTTATATCAAATTTGAGCCATTTATTAAAATTATATAAAGTTTGCTCCATATTTTCCATTAGAAGGCAAAAATATATAAATATTTTGAACTTAGTTCCGAAATTCAAAGCAACCATTGCTAATATACGCTCCGTTATTTTATTGTCATTATATTTATAACTGGAATTATATCAATTGCATTATTAGAGTCCTGAGCTCTTTACCCGATTCTTTAGAGCTCTCAAATATATTTATGCATACGTAAAATAAAATCTTTTGACAAGCAAACGACAATGCAAAATTCTAAAGGGTGATCCATTTCGAGGTTCTCTACTTTTTTAAAGAAAAAAAAAACAGAAAATGCGCGATATCGGTCGCCATTGACGGTGTTAGCTCTTCAATCTCTTCAGGTTGCTCTTCGTCTCAAATGCGGCAATTTTGCATGTTTACATACCCATTGAGCCAGAAATGGGGCTCATCGCTGAAAAAAGTTTGGCTCGAAAACGCCGGATCTTCTCGGAGCTTTTCAAGAGCTCATAGAGTGAGGCGATGAGGTCGATCGGCTTCAATTCTTGCACTTTCAATTTAAGATCTCGACGAAAAAGGCGCCAAGTCGTTGCATACGTCAGTCCGAGTTGCTGCGTACGGCCCCGAATCGACTCTCCACGGTCTTCGTGCACACTCTCAGCTACGGCCGCTAAATTTTCTTCACTTTGTGCTAGTTATGGTCTATTCGGTCGAATATTATCCAACAATGAATGCTGGGTCTCAAGATGGCTGATAGTGTTAGGAATAGTATGCTCAGTAGGCCGATAATGTTGATCAAAGTTGAGCGATGCGGGCGAAACACATTGTTCACAGAACGTAAATTTTCGTAATAAAGTTGAACGATTTGTAAACGTTGTTCAGGCGTAAGTCTTTCCATGATAAAATGCCAAACAATACTGAACAAAAATATCATGATATTGAAAAAAGTACCTCTACTTGGATCACCCGTTACAAATAATCGAGCCAATCAGTTGAAATATGTACAAGCCTCACGTTGCTTTAAGAAAGCTAATATAACCGTCATTCATAAATTCAATTGTGCAATTATTTTAACCGTTTTACAATATTTTCCCTGATCGATTCTGCATAATTATTTTCCTAAAATAAATTTAACTAAAAATACAAATATTTCTTTTCGCAGACATATGTGGCCAACATACTAATTGCTGTGAATCCCTATCGTGAAATCAGTGATCTCTACTCATCAGCTACAATCAAGAAGTATACTGGACGTTCCTTAGGCGAGCTGCCGCCACATGTGTTTGCGATAGGTAAGATAATAATTATCTACAACCCAAAAAAACAGATGTTATACAAAATTCCACTGAAAACCTTAAAGAAACTGCCCACACACACACATTGAGACCACAATGAACATAAATACATATTTACACTATATATAATTGTTGCAGCTGATAAGGCTATACGTGATATGCGCGTACTCAAATCGTCACAATCAATTATCGTATCTGGTGAATCGGGTGCTGGCAAAACAGAATCTACCAAGTATCTGCTGAAGTATTTGTGTCATTCCAGTGACAGTGCCGGACCAATTGAGCAAAAAATTTTAGATGGTAAGGCAATGAGACATGCCACCGACTTTTATATTCGTAAAATGTAATTTATTTCGCTTTTATTGCAGCCAATCCCGTACTTGAGGCTTTTGGTAATGCAAAAACTACACGCAACAACAACTCTTCGCGTTTCGGCAAGTTCATTGAAGTGCACTATGATGCCAAGTGTCAAGTGGTTGGCGGCTATATTTCCCATTATCTGCTGGAGAAGAGTCGCATATGCACGCAGAGTTCGGAGGAGCGCAACTATCATGTATTCTTCATGTTGCTTGCAGGTGCGCCACAACAGCTGCGCGATAAGCTTAATTTAGGCAAGCCGGATGATTATCGGGTGAGTGAAGCCATGAAAAATATGTAACTGAAAGATTTTTATGATACGACTTTCGTATTCATGTATCTACATAGATTTGTATGCAAAGGCTTTTGTATCAGTAGTATAAAAAATATAAATTTTTATTGTTGTTTATAGTTTTTCATATTTTTATTTCGATTATAATACATAGATTTGTATGCAAAGGCTTTTGTATCCGTAGTATAAAAAATATTAATTTTTATTGTTGTTTATAGTTTTTCATATTTTTATTTCGATTATACATACACATGTAATTAAATGATAG